ATGGCAACTTCCTACTGATATTTTCCTACTTCTTATCTTGAAAACAATAAAAAAAAAAACCCAACAAATTTTCGCAAAATTAGGATTTTTTTTTTTATACCGCAACCAATTGTTATTGAGAGTAGCATTTCAGACACAATGTTACTTATACAAATGGGACGAAAACGAATACAGTCAGTCATATTTTGATACCAGGTGGCGCTATGACGTGAATGACGTCTCCCTTGAAACGGTGTCACAGGTAAAACGTTATCACATGCTATTCGGAAAAAAGCCGGTATCCGTGATCCCTTTAGATACATAGTAATTAGTGAATTGACAACCTGGTATAGGTGTTATTGATAAATTATCGATTACATCTAGCTCATGTCTAGTATTGTTACAGATGTGTTATGTTATACATGTATATAAGAGTAAAAAAGGAATAATCATTATTATTTACAGTGTTTGACTGTGTGTGTGTATTTGAATTTATTTATTAATACTTGCTACCAGTTACCAATATTGGCGAGCCCTTTAGAAGAATATTAGTCATTTAAGATTTTGGAGATACATATACAAATAGGTACCCATAATTTCAGGAGCTTCTCCTTGTTTTTTAGCGAATATTTAAAGGTAAACTGTTTCAAATATTTATGCAATTATTAAATATATTTTAGTTTCAGGTCTTGCCCATAATACAATAACTTTTCATGAGCTAGATTTTAAATTGTATATTTTGTTGTCTGATAGAGTCATCAATTATGTTATAAAACTTTGTGCCATGCTATTAAATGTTTAAAAAAAGTTCCACCGTATGGTGCTTACATCTATGAAGGAATGATAACCAGTTAAAAGATTCAAATTGCTCCATAACGAAGATCTTTGTGGTTGCTGTAAAATGATTGTAGCCATTCATTTTTGTAATTTACAAACATTATTTATGTAGTTTGTGTTTCCTTTAACCCATATGATACAACAATATAATACAAATAATGCATGGGACCTAGATTTATTGTTTCATCCGAAAGACTGTTTAGAAATGTAAATTTGCCAACCCGTCGTATTCAGTGCTTTCAGCGCTTTGATCTATGTTGAAGTGTTAAATTTTTTTTTATTTTATGATAAGTTTCTAATGGAACTAAAAACATTCCATTTTGCTAAATAACCAGTTTATTTGTTTAAATGTCTTAAACAGGGGGATTGGTAAGCGTGCCTGCGATACCATAGCAACTCTTGAAAATTTCCGAATTGAGTCTCGGTGTTAGGAAATCGCTACACGAAAATTATCACACCATCTGATATACCTTAGAATTTTGGGTACCCTTCACTAAATTTCTTGGGTATCTTATAGTAACGGCAAAGTTATCCATAAAAATGTTACTTAAATCGAGTAATATTCTATTTGACGATACGTCACATGTGTTGGCCGCCTAAATAAAGGTGTTAAAATTTAATTGCAATACCTTTTTTGTTAGCTATTGTAGTAATAATGTATATAGGACTTTCAAAACAGATCTCATTCAGAGCGGGCGCTATGGTGCAGTGGTAACACTGTCTGCCTACCAATCAAGGGGTCGTGAGTTCGATCCCCCGCTACTCCACTAAAAACGAAATGACTACGGGACTGACAAAACAAGAACATAGAACTAATGAGACTTAACCTACAAACAGAGACTAATAGGTTAAAAACATACAGATACAGACTAAACGGATCAGGATAAATTAAAAAGACCTATCGGAAAAGAGAAAAAGAGACACAATGGAACAGACAGCAGAAGCCATACAAAAAGGGACGTCACCCGACAGATAACAACAACGGAGCATTCTGCAAGACAATGAATGGTACAGACGACAAGACACGAAACGGAACAAACAACGACCACTTAATGGATTAAAACACAAGGACTGCAACGATGTACAGGCAAGAGAAGACTGAAACGAAATAGGAAACGAAATGAGAACCGATTAAAGAAGAACTAACGGCATACGAAATAGCAACAACAACCTTAGTGACAACAGACGCATAAAAGAAAGGACACAAAATATAAGAATGACTGACAAAAGAGATATAACAGCAAGAGTCTAACGGAACAAACAAAATGTGACAACAGACACATAAAAAGAAAGGACACAAAATATAAGAATGACTGACAGAGATAAAACAGCAAGAGCCTAACGGAACATACAAAATGTGACAACAGACACATAAAAAGAAAGAACACAAAAGTATAAGAATGACTGACAAAACCTTAACGGAACATACAAAATGTGACAACAGACACATAAAAAGAAAGGACACAAAAATATAAGAATGACTTATAAAGGAGATATAACGGCAAGAGCCTAACGGAACATACAAAATGTGACAACAGACACATAAAAAAAGAACAAGAATGACTGATAAAAGAGATATAACGCCAAGAGCCTAACGGAACATACAAAATGTGACAACAGACACATAAAAAGAAAGAACACAAAAATATAAGAATGACTGACAAAACCTTAACGGAACATGCAAAATGTGACAACAGACACATAAAAAGAAAGGACACAAAAAATATAAGAATGACTTATAAAGGAGATATAACGGCAAGAGCCTAACGGAACATACAAAATGTGACAACAGACACATAAAAAAAGAACAAGAATGACTGATAAAAGAGATATAACGGCAAGAGCCTAACGGAACATACAAAATGTGACAACAGACACATAAAAAGAAAGAACACAAAAATATAAGAATGACTGATAAAAGAGATATAACGGCAAGAGCCTAACGGAACATACAAAATGTGACAACAGACACATAAAAAGAAAGAACACAAAAATATAAGAATGACTGATGATTCCGCAAACTTAATCAGGAAACAAAACACGAACCGGAATATACAAAAGAGAATTAATGAATTAAGACACATCGATTGAGAAGACTAAATTAACTGAACAGCCAATAGAAAAAAAACTGAACAGGAAACGAGGACCGATAACAGAACAGACAACAACAAATACCTAAGTGACAACAACACACATAACAGAAAGGACAGGAAAATACTACTTGTCTGTTCAAGTGCTCGGGAGTCCTTATGACGGATAAAAGAGTACCAGCAAGAGACCTAACGGGACATTACACAAACTTAAAACTGAATCTGTTCGCAGACACCAAGAAACTTGAACAAGTAAATACTTGATAGTTGAAACATCATGAAACAAGACACGTTCCGGAACATACAAAAGATATGGATCAATACACACAATAGAAAAATAGAACAGAAAACAATGACCAATAACAAAAGAACTAACGGAATACGCACCAACATTTCAGAACAACAAAAAACGGAAAAGACAATAGAACAGCAAATATATCAACAGCCAGGCATAACAGATACAGTACATAGTTAAACAGTAAACGAACACAGCTACATACAAACTATCAAATTAAACGGAAAACCACATACATATACAGAAACATATACAGAACATAGTTAAATATTTAACGGAACAGCTAGCTTAAATAAAATTAATTTGAATTGTACGCATTGCATATGTGTTTTTACGTTAAGTGTATTTTTTTTATTTTCGGACACGAGAAATTTTAACGATAGACTTAAAAGTAAAAAAATATTAATAAAGCCATGATTGTTAAACATACAGAATCCCCGGAAAATGGCAACCTGTCATACATGCCAAAAGGTTTATCAATTATGTTAAGTATATCTTAAAATCTTTTCTAAAAATAAAAGTAAAAAAACATAATTATTATTAAATACACATAATGAACATAACTTCAGCTTATTTGATTTTTTCGTTTAGATCCGTGTTAGGTATTGTGATTTCCGCCTTTTATGTTAACTTTGATAATATATAGCTCTTAATATATTGTTGTGTTTTTGCCTTTTATAACGACAAGAAACACAATCATATTTTATTACTTTTCCCATTCATCTTATACGTTTCCGATTCCTCCACCTTATATTTTTAGAAGAGTATTCCTTTGGGATCCGTTGTTTTAGTAAGCATTGGAATTTAATCATCACAAAGAAAATTTTGCACACGACTTAAATCAAAAGCAATGATACATTTTCTGCATTAACATTCTTTATTACTAGTCCTTACAATGCCATACATACATTTGAAATTATGTATTCCTGTGCATGTAATCAATATACATAGAATGTATGAAGAAAAATGCAATCTACATACATTGGTTACTAATATTTAGATATAAACATGTTATCAAGATACATATACTTTTGGCGGATATTCCCGTGCATACAATATAGTTTGAAAAGAAAATATACATAAATAAATAAAAAATAATAGACAATAACATGAACACAAACAAGATAATGTTTAATTCCTGTCTGAAAAAAAGAAAGAAATAAAATTGATAAATAATTTTGTTTTTATTGTGCTTTACCAAAAATGTACGTGATGCTGATTGCATTACCCGTATATTCTAAACAAAGGGGAATAAATAAGTCAGGAATCAAAAACAAAGAAAGTGTGAATTGTCTCCCTTATATATTGACATACAATCGTATCAATTTATAGGCACTGTAAGGCAATAAAGAAATGTTTACAGATGATGAAAAGGCATCACCGAAATATTTATTTGTAACACCTTAAAAAAGGACACGAAAATCATTATTATCATTTAGTGTCCAGCTTTATTTGTCATCCAATGAAAACGCTGCATTTCTTAAAAATTGTGTGTGTTAATTTTCATAGAAGAACAAAAGTCGATACTGTATCGAATTCCGTTCATTTTTCTATTTTTCATAGTACTTCATAGAACCGCATAGTTACGTAAAGTCGGTCAACGTGCCTTATAAAGGAACGCGGAGAATTGACTTCTTTATGATACGAAAGCACATCTTACTTAGCTTTCAATCACTAATTAGGGGATAAATACGTTGAAAAGATTTTTGCAATTGTAACATTGTTAAGTTTTTTTAAAATCACATCGATTTTTACAGAATTTTGTTGCAAATGTATGAAGATAAGCTAAACTTACTTACCACTTACTGAATACAAAACACAGACAAGAGACAATAGTTTCAACATATTTGTTTAAAACTCGCTTCTTTATATATGTATAGTATAAATGTTTAATTTCTGACGTAGATATCTATTTCCCCTTATGTTCTATTTTCTTATCTCTTTAAAGTTTAACACGTACACTTACAAACTGTCGGTAACAGTGACTTTTTTAGGCTATATATAAACTATAAACGAAACTCAGCAATGATTCTTTTATTCAAATGAGGCAAAAAAATGATTGCAAAATAATGTTCACTATTTTGTTTAAATATTTTTGCGTGACAAAATGAAACGCACAGTTGGAAATTAATAAATCGTACCGCTTTTTATTTAAATAAACTGATTACAACGTTTAATGAATATAATTACAATATATAAGATAGTAACAAATTACACCATTAAAACGAGCGCGCACGAGACCAATCTGGTATCTTGTTATATCCTGCAAGGAAGACAACTCAGACAAAACTGTTGGTACAAGATTTTTCTGCGTTGTTTCACTTGACGCCATTGTTTAAGCACGAAATAGCCCCATTAAACAAAAACAACAACATCACCACTACTAAGATCACAAACATCTCTTTCACTGATTGAATTATTGTCTAATATTTATAATGTTTTCGTACTTTTAAGATAAATTAAATGAATCATTACAATTATTGTACTTCTGCTAAAGTGGTCATTATTCTTACAGTTACATTTATTTTGGGAAACAAAATGAAATAAGCATTTACAAAGTGCCAAAATAAGTCATTAAGTAAAAGCACTTTACTTCACCTACAAATATTGTTTATGTACACATTCCATGCTTTCTGAGGAAATTTGCCGTCGGCTGTTTACAGGCACATTATGGCCTCTAAGAAACGCATATTTTATTATTTTATTGTTAACTTCTTTAGAAGGGCAAACATGAGTATTAATGACATTTAGATAATGATATATAGCATCTCAGGATGGTTTTTTACTAAAACAGTAGCGCTAAATTGTGAAATATTTTGTCAATAGAAAATGTAAAATAGTAGTTTGACTTCCATACAATTAAATACTATAAGTACTTATCGCCAAATAAGTAAACAGAGGACAAGGAGTGTATAAATAATTGGCAAATAAGTAACTTTTTGGAAATTAAAGAAGTACAACAGAATATAAAAATACTTTTGAGAAAAAATAATAATAAATCATTTTAAAGCATAATGGGCATTTAAATTAGCATTTATTTTGCATCAAAAACCCTTATCTTAACAATGAACAGTTAAAAATGCTGGACAAATCCCCATTCTTACAAATTCATTCTGAAGTAGGGATGACTTATAAAACATGCCTTGAAATTTATGTTTAATTTTCATGAAAATTTCGGTAATGTATTTAAAAGTAAATAACATCAGCAGTGAACAAATATTTTGTTTACACATTGAAAACGGCATTTACAGTCCACGCAAATCACCAAAAAAATAAATCAAGCCCTTAGTATAGTTGCTTATGTCAAAAGTCATTAATTGCATACAACATGAAAACTATTACGTTGAATCTTGATTTTTTTTCTTTCCTTAAAATATTAGTACAATTATAATGATTTAAAAGATATTTCGTATGGAAGTTCAGTTTGATTTTCTTGAAATATTCTTGCTCAGCTGGAGGCAATGCAGCTAAAGTATGGATACAGCAAAAGAGAGCAGAGTGCAATCGACAATTACTGAATAATCGGTTTTACATTAAACATTAAATCTAAAACATGAAACCTACAAAATTATTTATACTATACAGCCTATGAACAATATGATTTAACTACATTTCAAGATCCATCATTCAGACAGAAGTAATTCAGCAAATCTAGACCCAGAAAACAACGGCATCATCCCAGCAAACATATGTCAGATATAGAGTAATCAGAATTGCGCTATAAATAACAAATTGCTCTAACAGGGACTTTAGTCTACAGGGACACGTGTATATATAAACAAACTTGATGACAACTATCAAGGAAAATGAACTGCTAAGATAATTCGAAATTGAGCGGAACGGGGAGAAGAAATGTTTATCGTTTTAATCGGCACATAGAATACCAGTATAAACCAAATAACGATATAATATGCATTGCGTTCTGTTATTGTTATTATGTTCTAATGCTGTTAACAATACGTCGGATCATGATTACATCACATTCAACGGTTTAAGTATAAATATAAAGACTTTTTTCAGGGCGAAAGTGCATTAATTTTTTCAAGGCAAAGATAGCGAAAAAATGCCCTTAACTTTGTGTTGAAAATTGAATACCGCTTAAGCCGTAGGGAGGGGGTGTAGGGTCGTTGCAACTTATTCGTTTTCCATAGTACAGACTCAATCAAGCCGAGTCTGTAATTTTCATGTAATTTTGTTGTGATCAATTCTTTCCGAGAGATCAACAACTTCTTCCGGATTTTTGCATTTATTAAACAGAATCATAATGAAATAAATTTTAATGATGAAAAACACTTGGGGTCACTTTGCCCTACTATTTAGCTATTTGTCGCTGGAATTTTTCGCTCTCCTATGTCATTTTCACTAGTAGGTAACTCAAACTGTAGCAAGCATTACCTCCTTCGATTTCAAATTTGTGTTTGTTTGAATAATTTTGTGATTGTGCAATTTCCTGAAGGTCTCTGCGACAAATTTATTTCTCTATTTGCTTATGTCAAAGGATAGAAAATTCTTCAAGTTATGTCCTTTGTTGAAGAAAAATCAATATGCTTTCCCACTGAATCATAGCAAGATGTATTTTCAATAAAATTGATTAAAACTTTGCATAATGACAAAAAAAAATGAAAAGCAAAAGTAATGTGAAACAAAGTATGTGTGATTTTGACTGACCTACTCTTGATAGTGATCAAAAGAGTGAAAATATCCTATTCAGGGACAGATTTTATTATTCACAAACAAAATACATTGTATCTCAAAGATAAAATGTTCTTTGTAATTTATAAAAAAATGATTGATATATTGTAATGCAAAAGCTACAATTATTGTACGATAGCATACCTTGCTATAGAATAAGTTTCCAACCAAATAAAAAACGTGATTGAAATGCAATTGATGTCATTAACCACTTCTATTAGTATAGCTATAAAATGCTATTTCTATTTATAAATATATGTAGTAGTCAATTAATACAATTTCCACAAATTAACTAATCAAGGTTAAACTTTCAAATTCTTTCCTTTTATGTAACAATATTGCTATGGCCTTATTTCCCGCGGTGACTACTTTGTTCAGTGGTTATTGTTTTAGCTCTCAGAGCTTGTCACATGAAGATATGGCTATAAATTGCCATTAATATGTTTGTAATGTTTTTATAGGTAAGTTGACCTTGTTGGCTAATGTTGAATAAACCTGAAAAAAAATTTATAGCTTGATTTCCGACACAAATGACTCTGTTAAACGATAAATGATGCGTACCTATGTTGAGATGTTAATGTATTATTTCTAAATAAGTAGGTTATAGTGCGATTTTAATTTAAACAATCGTCGGAAAGATTTAAAGGCATTGAACATATATATATATACAAACATTTCTTATTTGAGGCCAGTGAATGCTTCCCTCCATTTTCTATTGTAAAATTAGGATGAGATTGAACATGGGTCATCTCGGATGAAAAAGTAGGTCACAAAAGCTGAAAATAGAAAAATCTTGTTAACACGCTGGTGGCTACTGTATTGATCCAAATATCCTGGATATTGGTCTTAAAGTTTGTTAAGATGATTTCTAGGTCAAGTTTAATTATGAGTCACCTGGTGCCAAAAACTAGATCACACTGCTCAAAACATTGAAAACCTTGTTTACACTATAGTGGTAACATTTTTTACTCAATTGTCACCAAACTTGGTCAGGTTGCTTGTCTTATTAACTGAGTTGATGGCTAAGGTGAGCGATCTAGGGCCATCTTGCCCCTCTTGTTTCAATTTATAGAGCATTAAGGAGCACCATCGGTTCTTCATTGTCTTCAGTACACATGCCACACTATTCATTTATAGGAACGGCAATCAATTCCTTGCAAGTCGGCATCATGTAAATAAACCTATATGTCTTAAATATACCTCTATAATAAAATATTAGAAATGAATGATGATTTGACATCAGCAATATTTACGCTCACGAATTTGTTTCTGAGAACACTTATTTTCAATGAATATTTTCAAAGATAAATTTTCTTCCTGGTCATTTACTTGTACACCTGTTTATAACCATATGATTTAAAAATTTACTGTTTCCCTAGAAGGAATTTTATTTACACGATTCTACTCTGCAGTGTTTATAACGAAATGTGAAGAAATTAAAATTCTATTCTTACGCAGTGTGAAGCATTATTGCACCAGAAGTGTTACAATAATTATGAAAAAAAGACCGATTCATTCGTCTGCTTATGATGAAATGGGCGAAATAAGAAGATAAAAAGCTAATGAGCCAACTAAATATTTTAAGCCGATTTAGCAGTCGCTTAGCACCAAATAACCTATTCTACATCACAAGATCACGGTTCTACGAGAGGATTGTCATATTCTTAATATGTACCACACATCTTATTCTTGAGGGATGTTCTGGACACATATTTTCCATTTTATTACATTATATTTTATTAGATGATATAGAGGATATTTGTTTGTTTTGAATAAAAGATCGAAATCTATTTTACAGATGCAATATTGTCAGATTTTTATAAGCTTCCTTAAAATAGCCAATGGTAGCTTTTTTGACAATTTTCAAAGATAATTTTGTACCAGTGTATTCATTTTATCATATGAATATAATTCATTGCTTCTCTCTTATGATTATTTTAAAAGGCATTTTTGGAATTAA